AAAAAGACTACTTGGCGATATGAAGTTTTTGGAAAATCTGAAGGCATTTGATAAGGACAACATACCAGCCTCAATTATGAAAGTGATTCGTGAGCGCTATATTCCTAACCCCGATTTCAAGCCTGAACGCGTTGCTGTTGCTTCCACGGCTTGTGAAGGTTTGTGCAAATGGGTTATTGCTATTGATCGGTACGATGCGGTGGCCAAGATTGTTGCGCCAAAGAAGGAAGCTCTGGCCAGAGCTATGGAGGAGTACACAACAGCCATGGATTCTCTGAACAAGAAGCGTGCGGCCCTGAAGGAGGTACAGGACCGCTTACGCATCCTCACCGACGACTTGGAGCTTAACAAGCGAAAGAAAATAGACTTAGAAAACAAGGTCGATATTTGTACGATGAAACTGGAACGCGCCGAACAGCTGATCGGTGGTCTTGGTGGTGAGAAGTCACGATGGACAGAAGCGGCCAAAAATTTGGGTGGACAATATGTCAATCTATCCGGAGACGTGCTTGTTTCAAGTGGTGTGGTAGCCTACCTCGGTGCTTTCACATCTTCATTTCGACAAGACCAAATCAAAGAATGGCTTCAGGCTGTAAGAGACAGTGCCATTCCTTGCTCCACAGTTTTCAGTTTGGTCAACACCTTAGGTAATCCGGTGGAGATTCGAGCCTGGAATATAGCTGGACTGCCAACGGATGATTTCTCGGTGGAGAACGGGATTATCATTGCGTAAGCAACTCTTCTCATTGTGATTTCACTAATGTAGTTCTGTTACAAGCCTGTTTACTCTTATCAACGTCATCGCTGATCTCAGTGCATTGCCATCGTGGAAACAGACGACTGTGCTGTATCAGTGATGGTCTGAAATGACTTAGGATAAGCCATACATTCCGACCTGAGTATGTACACCCCCTTGCTACTTCTTGAACCCACTCCCCTAGTTTCCCTGCACAAAAGATATCTGAGCCAACTTATTTATAGTGAAAATGGTAAGCAATAAGTCGCTTCGTCAATCTAAATCATATCTCCATTCCTACAGGGACTCGCAGCCCAAAATTTCTTATAATCGTACGTTCTTTATCCCTTATTCAGCATTGGCGTGCGTTTTCACGTGGTGCTTACCGCTGAACATCTACCGTAGACATCGTGAAGAATCCTAAAATAACAGTTTGTTCAGGGTACTAGCTTGTCATCACTATCCATGGGGAGCATTGCTTTCGTTGGCGTAAGACCCAGTGTCTTTTCTGCTAATCCCCCATAGAAGTCGTGTTGCATGGATCTGATGTTCCGAAGCCTTCCGACCATCCAGATAACAAACGTGCACACAACCTGAGCGAAATCTCTCCTCAGAGTAGTCAACTTCTAGGGAGCAACGCTGTTGAAGGAAGTGTTACTTCACACTGATGCTGTATTATTAGTATTGGAAGGTGAGGCCATTGAATATTGAGTAAATTATTCTGGTTAGTCCACA